TTTTTTTTTCTTTTGGTTTTTCGAGACAAGGTTTCTCTGTGTAGTCCTGGCTGTCCTGGAACTCACTCTGTAGACCAGGCTGGCCTCGAACTCAGAAATCCACCTGCCTCTGCCTCCCAAGTGCTGGGATTAAAGGCGTGCGCCACCACCGCCCTGCGGGAGGGAGAATCTTACATAGCCTAGGCTGTTTGTTCTTGAGCTTACTATGTAGCCAAGGGTGATCTTGAACTCCTGATCCTCCTATTATTACCTCCTTAGCACCACCATGCAAAGTCTCTCTAAAATCTATCTTAATGAATTTAATGTTGAGGTAGCAATTCCACCTCTATGATTTCATCTAGCATTCTCCATGTTCATAGACACAGATGCATTTTTTTGTTACAAAATTATTTGCAAAAGTTAAAAATGAGGAAAACGAATCATCTATAGTTGATAGCTATATCATCATAGTCACATGAAGGGATACTCTACAGATTTTAAAAAAAAAAGACCTGGGGTGGGATGGGGGACTGCAAAGATGTGTGTCCTGTGATGTGGGTAGACACGACAGCAATTTGCATGTTCATCACAGTTTGATTAACATTAAACTTTCCTAATAGATGGCCAGATGGATTTACAGTGGCTAATATAGGTCCCACTATAAGGGGGACCAAACTAGTGAGGCAACACACACGAGGAGGCTTACCCACCCTTTTAGTTTATATCCTGAGCTATCAGAATGTCACATAAGGGCCCATGTACACTTCAGTAATGGAAAACAGAAATTAAAAATTATATTAGCTTTCATTATTCAATGTACTCCTACCAATGGCTAACATTTAAATAATGTATTCTAATTTCCTGCGTAACTACTTGCTGGGTTTCAATTACCCTATCTGGAATTCCCATATCTTCCTCCGTCATTGCTTCCCCTACCAAAAGAAAGGAAAGCTCCCTAGGTGGATTGATGGGAGATCTTTTGACATTCTTAATCCATGGAGGGGATGGTGGTGAACGGAATTTTTGCAACTCCTTTTGTATCAGCAACTTGCTTCAGCAAATATCTGTCTTAGCAAAGCTGATACTTCAGTTCAAATCACCTAGAATAGGTAAGCAAGGCCAATCCCTCCCCTCTCTCAAGATGTCAAGGACAGTTGGCACTGGAGGAAGTCACTCACAAGGGTGGAGCTCAAAGGTTGCAAAAGAAGTTGGGGACCAGTGGTCTGCCCCTTTACCTGTCGTTATCCTCAGCAGATATGTACCTTGTGGGAAGTCTGTGTGTGAGAGATGGAATGTGTGGCAAGGTACTTCTTGCCTGCTGGTCACAAGATTGTCCTTTATTCATAAAGTGCCTCTAGATTTCTATACACTTCATAATGTGTAATGGGATCAAAAAGGTTAATAGCTGGTTAGTGAATTCTTCTTAAAGAGGAGGGAGTCCTTTGAGGAATGCCTGGATGAGCAAGTGTGGATAGGTATGCCCTGGTCATTGATAGAATTGGCCCTTTGTGTTTCTCAAAGTTGGTGGGAAGGGCAGAAAGGGAGGATGGATGGGAGGTCCTGGGAAACCCAGTGACATCACATAAGCGTGGGGAACCAAAGGTATCTGCATAGCAGTGAAGCATCCAGCTTTGATGGAGGCTCTTTGTGTGACTTGGATATCCTCCTCCATACTGTCCCCCTTTATAGTATCAGAAAGCCTACCACACTTGTCAATATGCCCAGGAATATGGTTTCCAAGAACATTCTAATGAAGGGCTGAGTCCAAACAGAGCAGAACCTACACACAAGGCATACGAGGGCAGGAGGGGAGGCTGTACATGAGCACAGCCTTGGGAAGTGGTAGAATGGACTTGGTGTTATGTGACAATTCTGACCGTGTCTTTAAGGACCAAGGAGTCACCAACTGATCTTAATATAACAACCAACTCTTCTCACTCAGTTCTTGTTGGGAGTTTTTGCTCAGGCCTCTTATCACTTGTAGAGTGACTTTCCCTGAGCCTCACCTGCTCACATGTGCAGATGAGCTAGCAAAAGGGTGGAAGGGAGAACAAGACTTTTAAGTAGGAGGGAAGCAAAGAACAGAGCTGTAAGAAAGGATGGAGAAAATGGGAATGATGGAAGAAAGGAAACCCCGGTCTAGAAGCACCAGCTTGCCTCCTTTTGTCCTTTTGATTGGAGACAGGATCTTTGTTGGGAATGCTAGATTTGACACTGGATCTCCTGGTCCATCCTGTACGTGCCCAGAGCTGATGCCCTCTGGTTGCCCAGTTACCTTCACACAGGGACCCACTCATTGATTACCTCTAACAGATGACACTTCTCTTTTCTCTACAGACTAGAATTTTTATGAGATCAAGTGCAGTGCTGATGTTGGCAAATGCTAGCATCCCGTAAGCCTCTGAAAGTGAATGAATGACCCTTAAGAGTGGTAAGAAATTAATGCGACTGTACATATTCAGTGAGGAATCCCTTTGTGTCCTCATTTAGCTCTCCCTCAGTAAATATGCTGACCCAAAAGGCCAGATTCAGAAAAGAAGCTAAGCACTTGTGGGGAAGATCGTTCTTGGTAGGTTCCACCCCTCTCTATTTCTGGTTGACTTGTTATTCAGTGCTGAGGGCCATATACAAATTGTCTCTCACCCACCCCAGCTCAGTACTCTCTGCTGAAGGGAGAAGCCCTCACAGCTCTCCTTCCTGCTTCTCAGCATCTCCCAATTTGTGCTTTGAGGTTTCGCCTGAATTGAGACACACCTCTGAGGACACCTTGCAGGAGAAGGTTCCTGCCAGTTCCCTACCCACCATGTGGAAAGGGCAGGCTTAGCCATGACAGCAGCGATACATATGATTCCAGCCCAGATGGTTCATCACGGCCTCTTTGCTGCCAAGAGTGCACGGGCCATTAAGTATGCTCACTCTTCATACACACAAACTTGGAGACTCTGTGAAGGTCTGGCTACAAGTTTAATCTACTCCTTGGTAGCATCCTGTCAAACCACTTTCCAGTCAAGGAGAGGCCCAGGCTACACAGGCCTCATGGTTTGGGTCAAGAGATAAAACTCTGAAATACACAGAATTAGACTGCTAAGAACTCAAGACCCTGGAAGGCATCCAACTGCAAGAAGGTACTTTATTCAGCTTCTACCTGATCCCATGGCCCCTCAGAGTCTAACCATCGAAGCCCCGAGAAGTTTGGATTTCTGGTACATTTCCTGTAGACTTTGTTGGTTTTGATTCTTAGACAGCTTTTGATTAGTTATGCAAGGGCCCCTTGTCTGGGCTACCATGCTACAGTGACCTTTCTAGAACCTGTCTTACTCTAAAAATAGAGTTTCCCTCAGTTTCCCTTTCTGCTTCTCCATATCCTCAACGGAAAAGTGATAACTTTGGATTTCAGCCCTGACTCTTGCCCACTTGGTAGCAAGTAAGAAGTTCTCAGAGGTGGGGATAACAGGCATGCTTCAGATCTTCTGGGTACACCTGCCTCTTGTATTCTTTCTAGATATAAAAAGGTGGAAAGTCTGGCCTGCGTTAGTTCACATGATGTCCCAAACTCTCATTTCCCTATGGACTGTCTCTACATACGAAGCCTGTTTAGGTCTGGGCAATGGAAATCAGGGGTTAGGAAAGGGCTACTTATGGTTGATCCTGGAATACCTGTGCTCATCTGTTGTTCTCATGATTGGAAAGAATCATAAGCAGAAAAGGTCCTATGAAATGGCTAACCATAAATACTGCTGTGCTGGCAGAATATTCCCGAAATTTCAGGAATATTCTGCATCCTAAGGCAACTGTATCAGAATAAACAGGTGAATCTGTTTCCCATAAATGACATATTCCCTTCGACATAGTACAGAAAAACCACCCAGAACCGCCTGCTTAGTAAATGTCAAATAATAGTAGTGGATCCACGATCTCTACCCATAACATGCTATCCTGGTCACCCAGAGTCAGTATCTACCCATAACATGCTATCCTGGTCACCCAGAGTCAGTAATGTGCAAGGGGAAATTCAGACCTGTTAGGTTCCCAAGGCATTCGGGGACATGGTAGAGTTCACTATCAACAAACAATGAAAACTGGGCATAAGCCTCAGAAAACTGAGGTCCAATCCAAGTGCCCTTCTCAAAACATCTCCCCACCCCCTCACTCCCCTTGCAACATTAAAAGATTTGGGCTTAATGCTTGGGCTCTCATGGGATCCCTTGTAGAGAGGAGCCAGTTTGCTTCCTTCAGGGACTTAACATTGCCCGAATCTTTTACTGCTTCTCCTTAAGTCTGATCAGTATCAAGACATGAAAGCATATTTCAGCAAACTCCCAGAGAGGAAGTACTGTGCCAAGAAGTCACATGCCAACAAATATAATCAGAACTCCCAGGTCCTTCATTCCGAGTGTATACAGACTTCCGAAAACCACCTGCTTAGTTTCCCATGATCCCACTCTCCATTCGCTCATAGCCTGATTACCAGTTCCAATTTACCTTCAAATCATCGGGAATGAAGACTTTGCGAGCTTTCTTAATCATGGGCTGTGGCTTCAGTTCTTCCTCAGAGAACTTCCGTTTGCGAGGGTCAAACATTTCCTGCCCCGGGATGCTGGAGAGGGCAAGGTCTGCTGGGTCTGGTTCATACCCGACTGGGACCTGGATGGTGTCAGGGTCAATGGGACTCGGTGTATTGCGGTTTGCTGGCAACAGCTGGCCTGGAAAAACACAGTTGTTTTAACTTATGTCAACTCTAAAGCAACCCAGGTCAGAGCCACTTCGTGATTCTCCAGGAGTGTTTGGAGTCTTTAACCCACTTATTTCTGACCTTGCTGCCTATGGTCTTTCACCATATTTCCAAGAACACAGGAGGCAGAACATGATTGACTCATGCCTTATCAGGCAAAACAAAGACACATACTTCCTTGCTGACAAACAGGATGAAGAGAAGTTAAAACACACACACACACACACTTCCATTTTCCTATCACATGCATTGTGGTGACTAGTCGTATGCCAACTTGACACAAGTTAGAGTCACTTGGGGAGAGGGAACCTTAACTGAGAAAATGTCTCCACCAGATAGGGTAAGACTGTGATACATTTTTTTAAGTTGCCCATTAATGTGGTAGGACTCAGATCACTGTGGCTGGTGCCACTCCCGAGCTAGTAGTCCTGGGTGGTTTAAGAAAGCAGGCTGATCAAAGGAGCAATCCAGTAAGCACTATTCCTCTGTGGTCTTCATCATCTCCTGCCCCTAGGTTCCTGCTCTATTTAGGTTCCTGCCCTGACATCTTTCAATGATGAACAGTTTTGTCACAGCAACTGTAACTCTAAGATACACATGGAGCATCAACTACGTGCCTGGCATGCTGGATGATGTGATAGATAGAGTTACAAGGTTGTCACTTAAGGCTGCTTCCCAGGTGAGTCTCAGAGACAGACCTAGAATTAGCCAGTTAGGGTAGGGTGTAGTGGTTGTAGGATGGCTGCAAATCTCATGTGCACAGAGTGTAGGAAATCATACATAACACAAAAGAAGTTAGAGGGGGTTCCTGACGATCACGCCTGCTGGAGCTGCATCTTGAGATATAGAGTAATCCGAAAAAAAAAGGCCCTATAGGCAAAACATTCAGAGAGACACAAGTATTTCAGTGTCTGTATGTGTTGCATCATTGTGTGTGTACCTGTCAGTGTTGATGTGTGCACAGATGCATATGTGTGGACAAGGATGCATATGAGGCTGGGGGTGGACACTGGGTGCCATTTCTCAACCATGCTCCACCTTTATTTTTCAAGATGGTGCCTCTCATTGAACCTGACACTCATAAATTTAGGTAGGCTAGCTGGCCAATGAGCTTCAGGGATCCACCCGTTTCTCACTCTTGGGTTTTTCCGTGGGCTCTAGGGATCTGAATTCAGGACTTAATGCTTTTGTGGCAGACACTTTAGCAACTGAGCCATCTATTCAGCTCTAGGTTGGCTTCCTTTTGTTTTCCCCTGGGGATAGAACCTGGGGCCCTGAGCACTGTAGGCAAATGTTGGATCACGATGTTACATCTTCACCCCTCCAGGTGGCATTCTTTGAGTAGCTACGAATAGTTGTCAGTTGTTGGAACCCAGAACCAGAAGACAGAATGGGTTTAGGTAAAGCTACCTGAGGGGATATAACAAACCAAACAACTCCGAATGTCACAGGAGAATTTTGAGGAGTGAAATAGCAAACAGCTAGTTTAGAACAAGACTCTTGAGGTGAAATGGACTGAAGGGGCCACAGGTGGAGACAGGTCAGATACAAAGCTGCTGTGGTACACCACGCTCAGTAAGAGTGACAATACAGATACTGAGAAGGGGCACATTAAAATAAAGCATCAGAAAGGGCATAATGGAGACAACCTAACTTCTACTTGAACCCTCTACAGACTAAGCCACTGGACTGCACAAACATCCATGGAACAATGGGTGGATTGTGTTTCTTTGTCTAGCTGGGGAAAGTGAACTTAATAACAGACCAAATGTTTATGCTGGGAGTTCTGCAGCTTAACTTCTGGTTTCATCTGAGTTTTACAATTGCTCCTTTCATGCCCAGAGAATAAATGAGAGGACACAGCTTGGCTGTATTTGGCCCAGCTCCTCTTCTTCCTCATTGCCAAAGGTAGGCCCCCCCCGTGTAGGAAGAAATCTTTAGGTTTCATTAAAAACCTACCCCAAGGTGAAGCATGCAGCCCATTGCTTATATTGTAGTGAAACTGAAATCCTGCTCGCCAGTTTCTGAAAAGGCCTGGAAGGAAGCTTGAAAAATAAATGACCCAGATGACCTCCTAGGTCCCTTCTCTGCTTTGAGCTCTCTTCATGTACTGCCTGCCAAAGAGGAAGGACCTTCCCCCCAGGCATTGGCAGGTGATGGGGTTTTTCTCATTAGCCAAGCTGCTGCCCGGCTCCAGCTTCTAGGGACTGCTGAGCTCTGTGCTGGCTGCTGATAATACAATCTCATCCTGTGCCTTTTGACCTTGCCTTTAAATGGATCCTCAAGTCCATCAAATAGGGATGTACCAGTTCATAGGCATCTACTTTCTTCTCCTACCTTTTTACATAAATTTTTTTATATCTGTGTGTGTATGTATTTATATGTGTGTGTGTGGGGGGGGAGAATTTGCAGGAGTCAGTTCTTCTTCTCAGTGTACCCTTCACAGTTTTATCCAGCCCCAACTAAGATATTCACAACACAGCTCCTACCCCAAAGGCTCATGGAACACGGAGGAGTAGGGGTGTGTGCAGAAAGATTGTAAGACTCAGAGAACCAAAATGTCTGCTCTGAGATAGGGCCTTCTATAAACGATATGGAAGCTACACTCAGGAGATCTCAGCTGACAGTGACACCACCAATTGATATACCAATGTGGATGGGGGAATCTTAAAAGGCCCTACCTCAAGATGAAGAGCTACAGGCTAGTTCTTAACGTCTGCTGAGAGAGGAAGAATCACTCTTCTCCAGGGACTAGCAGTTTATCCGATCTGATCAAGTGGTCAGTCTTAACCATGTATACATTGGAACAACACCAAACAGACCCAGCAGGATATACACATATGTAATATTTCTAGTAATTATTTTATTTTATAATATATAATTAAATATAAATATTACATATATAATTAAGAATGAGGTCATACATTTGAGGAATTGGGGGCACAGGAGAAGTGGCATGGAAAGAGGGAAGGGCAGGCATGATAATATAAATGGAATATATGTGTATATATATATGTATATATATACATATATATATATATATATATACATATATATGTATATATATGTATATATATGAAATTCTCAGAAAGATTTAAAAAGATAGATTTTTGTTTTGTAATTTAAAGATAGTTTTATTATATATTGTGAGCCTTTGAGAGTTATTTGTGTGAGCTCATTTGTACACATTAGTTGAGGTCAGAGGGCAACTTGTGTGGGTTGGTTCTTTCCTTCTACCATGTGGGTCTTGGATATCAAACTCAGCCCATCAGACTCAGTGGCAAGCACTTTTTAGTTCCCTGAGCTATCTCATAAGCCCAGTATGTATCCAATTTTAAAATTAAACTTCACTGACTCCTTATCCAGCTTACATTGGGCAGTTTTTCCCACCCTGTTTATGGTGGTATAGAGTCTCACTACTAATCAATTGTCCATTGTAACTGTATCTGGCATATGCACACAATATGTTCATGTATCCGTATATAACCCTGCACTTTTCTTTCTTTATTACAATTATTACTGGCTTATCTGACTCAGAATTTCTTTTCATGTACAACATAAAAAAAAGATGCTAACTAATGTTTTCCAAATGAGTGGCTTTAATGACTGATATTGATAAGGCTTGACGTTTGACAGGACAAGTTATGCATTCATTATAGTACTTTTAAAGAATGTCTGTGGTTGCCCCTCTACACACATCGTTTTGGGAGAGTTTTAGAATGCATTTGTTGAGTTTTATTTAAAATCTTCATTGAGAGTTTGGAGTGAAGACTACAAGTGTGCCATGCAGGCGGAGTAATTGTTACACATTGGATATCCCAGTTTTTATTTTGGGGGTCTTAAAACAAAAGTTCAGGTCCTACAGAGGCCTTAACTTGTCACATTTTTGCTGTGTTTGTTCATGTTAAATGCTCTATAGTAGCTGTTACTGGTTCCTCTGTTTCCTAACTGGTTTTTGCTGGTATGTAGGAAGTGGCAGATTCTGAGATGCCAGGCTCATAGGCGACAGCTTCTCCCACCCCCCATCCTGCTTCTGACAATTTGAGCAAGTCTGAGTTCTCTTAACTTTTTAGTAAGTAAGTCTATCATCCACCTCTAGGGCTAGTTCTAGCTTGCTTCAGAGGCTTACAATTCCCACTTCGTCCTCGTGAAGAGCTTTAATCTCACCGCATCAGCATCATCTGCATCAGCATCATCTGCATCAGCAACAAGAGGTGGAATGAGGTGAGATGGGTAATCCCACCGTCCAGGCGTCAGGGGAAGATGCTGTGGAAACCTCACACAGTAAAACCCCAAAGGGCCACAGTCTCAGGGTTAGAGACTTTCCACCCTTATTGTACTGGCAGTTGTTTTTCAAATCAGAATTTGGAACATTAAATTTCCTCAAATGCCTAACCCCCTTTATTTTTTAAGTTTTTTTTAACTTATAACTTATTCATTTTACATCACGCTCACTGACCCCCCCCATCCCGATCAACCCCATCCCACAATCCTCCCCCAACCCCCTCCTCTTCTCCTCTGGGCCTAAACAAGAAGGAAGGCCCAATTGAGGAAGAGTGAATCTCCTTTAGAAGGGGGAATAAAATAGTCATAAGAGGCAGATGGAGGGAGAAACCTGGGGGGGGGAGGGAGATGGGGAGGGAAATGGGGGATTCAGGATCAGGTGTGGGGAAAGTCATGAAAGATGCCCATGAAAATGAATGGAAATCTGAAACTGATTGGGGGTGAAGAGGTGAGGAGAATCTCCAGGATGAGACATGACCTGGGATGAGGGAGACGCCCAAGAATCAATGGGGGTGACCTTAGCTGTGACTCACAGTATTGGGGACATGGAACCTGAAGAGGCCTCACCCTCTTTTAAAAAATGTTAAGATAATTGTGTGCCCCCCACCCTGTATTTGCTATGTTTAAGTTTGATGTTTCTCTCAGGTTTAATTTAAATCCTGCAGGTTCAACCCCACTATGTGTATT